TGCTGCCTCTCCAGCTGTATTTATCAGGAAGCTGAACAAGAAGCAGACCTAAAATTAGTCTATGGTTCTCTGACACCATTTGCAAGCATCAGAGCAAATGCCTATATTTTGATCATTAATAGACGACAATACAATATTGCTTCTTGGGATCCAATAGGTACTTTTTGTGTTCACAAAATAACGCTCTATTTGAGCATGAGTCTACAAGTCATTAATTGCCTACTAAGTGCCAAACATATAGAAATGTTTGTATACATCTCTGTGCATACCTTTTAAAGATAGGAGAATGGAGGACAGAAGACTTAATATCTGAGAGTTGTTGTTTTGTTTTATTTGCTTTTAAATAGCGTTTACACAGTTCAGAGAAATGTGTGCCCTGTGGGCCTCTGATTAGGGTGGGGAGGTGCACAAAATTTCAGTATTGAAATTCTGCTCCTCAGTGTGTTAAGAAGCTGCGAACCTTTAGCATGGGGTGCCTAGCTGGAAGTCGTTAAGGCGCAGCAGCCCTGGCCCTCTGAAAGGACCTATGCAGTTCTTGGGGGGATCTCTATTTCTTTCTAGCTTCCTGTTTTGTCATGTAACTTCTCCCTGTATGATAATGTCCTGCCATGGCACCCTCCACCATATGAAATAGCCGCGGGGTCTTTCCCAGTGCTGCGCCAGTGGCAGCGGCTTGCTTTTGAGCCTCCAAACCTGTGAACAAAATCAATCTTTTTTCTTTATAAAATGTACTATCTCAGGTATTTTTTTTAGTAGTAGCAGGGGCGGGCTAATAGAGAATATGAAATAAATATCACCTGCACTGCCAAAAAGCAGTTAAAGAGACTTCCTTTCTAAGGCCTGGCCTGACCATGTCATGTGAAGTTCTGGCAACCATCTCAATTTGACTGATGAACAATTCCATTGCTGAGCAGGTTCACAACTGCCTAGGAGTAGAAAATAATTGTCGGCACCCAGTCAGTAGATTGTAAGACAACATTCCCTAAAGCAAACACTGCCAGTGTACTGTACATCATTGAGAAGCTCACATGAGACCATGTTTAATGTAACTCCTAGGTCGTACTTGCAGATTCGCAGGCTGTCAGGAAAGCATCTGTTTTGGGGGATGGTTGATAATTGAGAATTTATTTCTAAATTAGAAACTAATGGCAGGGGCCCAGCATGATAGTCTATTGGCTAAATTGTCACCTTGAATCCTCCAGGATCCCATATGGACGCTGGTTCTAATCCCTGCGCCCCGCTCCCCATCCAGCTTGTGGTCTGGGAAAGCAGTTGAGACGGCCCAATGCCTTGGGACCCTGCATTCGCGTGGGAGACCCAGAAGATGCTCCTGGCTCCTAGCTTCAAATCGACTCAGCGCCAGCCATGGTAACTTATGGAGTGAATCAGTGGAGGGGAGATCTCTCTCTGTATCTCCCTGTATAAATCTGCCTTTCTAATAAAAATAAATAAATAAAATAAATCTCTAATAAAAATTAATAACAGAAATTGATAACTTGCTTTAATTGAGTACAGATGGATGCAAATCAACCTTTGCTGGGTTTAACTTTACTTATAATTAATGTTGGAGTATATTTACCAGAATATTTTTCCCCAGAGTACTAACCTCAATTTATTTCACTGGATGTTCCTGAGTATTAAATCCTTTCTCCTCCCTAAAAAAATCTCATCCCAAAGAATAAACTGAGAAATACAAATTCTTGAGTCACAAATATAATTGAGGAGATCTATATGAATAGTTAGGAGATGAACACAGCAAACATCTTATGCTTAGTTATATGTATCAAAGCTTGTCAGGCAGCAATGATAGGTAATTTGCACTTAAATATTTGGGTCTAGTATTCTGTACATTTTTAAATCAGTTGTACTTACAGGTCTTCTGTAGTGTTGACCTTTTTTCAACTATTTCACACTTTATAGATAACACAATTCTATATCTGTATGCTACTGTCCTGAAAATAGAAAATATTTCAAAGAAATATGTACCTGTAATACATAAAAAAAAAAGTATAGGTAGATACTTTTCTTATTTTTTAAAACGTCAAGTCATGTGATTTGACATGAAAGCATGAGAAAGTTCAGTCGATGATGAAAGATGAGCAAAAAAAAAAAAAAAAAGGTTTCTATCACTTCATTAAAACCCCAACCCACACAGAAAATGTTTTTTGCCCAGAAAATACTTTCCCAATGTCCCCCGCCCCCCCACATTACAAAACTACAATGAAAATATCCTGTTAACTACAGGAGACAGAAAGCGCTTTGGAAAAGATCTTTGGTAGAAGTTTTGGGAATTTTGACTGAAGGACCGTGCATTTATTTTAACCAAACTATTTAAGCAAAACATTTGGAAAAAATAGTTTAACAAAACTTCAAAATAAATACTTGCAGAGGAAAGGTTTAATTTGCAGTGCTATACACATTTTCTATCTTCTGCTACCACATGTTTTATATGTATATGTGTGTGTGTCTGTGTGCATATATAGGTGTTTTTATATATGTGTGTGTGTGTGTTTAAAATGGAAAAATATTATTGTCTGACAGAAATGAATTAGGTCAATATTCATAAGGAAGAAGATGAGACTTGGGCACTTATTTTTCACAGCCACCACTTGGGACAGCCACATGCTGTATTAGAATCCTAGGTTTGAATTCAATCTCTGCTTACTATTCGCAGTTTGTGGTCATGCATACCCTGAGAGCCAGCAGGTAAGTAGTCTGTCCCATCCACATGAGAAACCTGGATTGCTCTGGCTCCCAGCACAGGAAAGGAGCAGGCCTGGTGATTGTGGGTGTTGGATCTGGTTCCCACCCAGCCTTGGAAGGACCCAATCCTGGTGACTGTGGGGATCGGGTCTGGCTTCCAGCCCTGGAAGGACCCAGTCCTGGTGATTGTGGGGATTGAGAGAGGAAAATCAGTGTATGGAAGAGCCTTCTCTCTCCTTCTGTTGTTCAAATGAGTAAATAAAAAGTAAACCATTACAAAACAAAACTTAAGTTATTTTAAATGGGGCGGTACTTGAAGACACAGCAGGACTCTGTATTAGCAGCAAACATCTATTTATTGAAAATCTTGAATCTTAGGTCTTCAGAGGAAATTGCATTCATTCAGTAAATATTTACTGAATTCTTTGCTCTCAAGAGATTTACAAGTGACAGAGAAACATAGCTGTACACAATATGTTTTACTATTACATAACAAGAGTTCAAACACATTAAAGCAATCTTTGGGAAGCAAAATGTCTGATTCTTTCTCCCCCCTGTATTTCTCAACTCACATACTTCTGGTCATGATTTGTGACATAACAGCATATGGTGTCTAGATCCCAAGGCAACATTAAGGAAGAATTGGGGTAGGAGTTGTAATGTAGGTAAAACCACTGCTTCCAACACCAGCATCCCACATGGGTACTGGTTCAAGTGCTGGGTGTTCCACAACTTGTCCAAGTTTCAGCTAATGGGCATGGGAAAGCAGCAAAAACATGGTCCAAGCTTTTGGGTCCTGGACACCTGAGTGGGAGACCAAGCTGGAGTCTCAGGTCTTGATTCTGCATACCATGGCCCTGGCTTGCCTGCTCACTCTCTCTCTACCCCTAACATTCAATCTCAAATAAATACATCTTTAAAAAAAAAAAAAAAAAAGAAAGAAAGAAAGAAAGAAAACCTTAAGGTAAAGCAGACATAATTAAGCATTAACCCAAAGGTAGCAAAATCTGACCAGCTTTTAGTAAGGGCCAATTTCCCTTTCCTCTTTCAATATTACAACTTATAAAGAAGTACAAATTGTTTTCACGGTAGTCCACGATTTGTATTTAACCAGAGTCCCAAAGTATTTTCCCTCAAAAGTAATAACGCTTAATTTCCAGCTGGTCATCTTCAAACTCACTGTGACACTGATCATTGTACATAACATCACTTTTTAAGAAACACAGTTATTCTACTCTTAGGATATAAATGTCTGCAGTTTCAAAATAAAATCTTAATAATTTGGATTTCAAATGTGAGAATCTGTTTTTTAAAGCATGAGCTTAATGGGCTCATTTTTCTTCTTTGTACTTCTTGTAACTTGAGTACAACTGGAAAATTTAAAGTATGTTCAAATATAACATGTGATATCAAAAATAGCCACAGCAAAAATGCCCAGTCTATCTCCTGAATGAAAACATATTAGACTCAGTCTGCGATACCTTTCGCATTTGGACTTAGGATTCCAACCTTGACTGACAGTATTGAAGCTGTGCAAGATCCTCAAACAGCAAATATTAAAGTCATTCACAAATCTTTAAATACAAAGCCATTGGTTCAGCTAAGACAGATCATTCAAAATATAAAATAAGACTTCAAAAAGGCAAAAAGCACTCATTTTCTGGATTCGAATAAGTTAGAACCCTTGCATCTCTAAGGTATTATAAGCATTAAGAGTGATTATAAAGACAATATTCTCAGATGACTTGTTATTAAAAAGCACTTCAGAACCAACAATATAGAACATGTATACACTAACAATTTTCAAATGAAATGTTCCTTAAACTAACATAGAACTTACAATATGTTTTGTAATTACAATACTACAGCAGAACATTAAGTTGCCCAGAGCATAGTACAAACTTTGGTTAGGAAAATATTCTGAATATACTATATATCTGCAATAAAAATAAACACTATCATGTTGTAATACTAGTAGTGAGAAAAAAAAAAAGAAATATAAAAAACTGTAAGCATATGACTGCCTCCCCTTAATGAAACACTATCTGTGAATCACTCAAAGACACAATGAGATTAATGTTTAGCCAGTATTATGTGGATGGAACTTCCAGAAGTTACTACTGGGGAGGAACAAAAGTCAAAGGCTGTTCTGAATGATCAAATTACCCCTTCCTTTCTCTGGATGGAGGAGAGGGCTAAATCGGGCCAATAACATCTAAAAAAAATGAAATGGAATTGAAAAGCATAAATGTTGCACAACAGAGAAACTTTAGAACACTTTGTGTACAAGTCCATCCTTAGCTCCACAGTCCGGCATAGTTTCCGTGGAGCACAGAAGGGAGAGGCCCCCCAGCCACGAAGAGCTTCATCTCCTGCCAGTTGTAGCAGTGGGTGTAGAGCGCATTGGGGAATTCATCCACTCCACCGTAGTAGTTGACCCAGGGGCCATCGTGCTTGAGCCAGCCTCTGCCGCAGGTGAGCTTGAGCTTCTTCCGGGCAGTGCCTGGAGAGGAATTCGGCACATCCTTCTCTCGCTCCTCCAGGAACTTCTGAGCTCGGACATCATAGAAGAGCAGGGAGCCGTGGCCCGTCCCCACGGTGATGATGTGCTGGTAGAAGCTCAGGGAACGCACTCCGGTACCCCCTTCCCGGGAGCACAGGGGCCGGATGTTGTGGTGTGCCTGGCGCGGGTCCACAAAGGAGACGTGGGCTTGCGAGCCAACAGCATACAGGGACAACTCATCGCAGTAGGTCAGGCACACGTTTTCTCGGAAGTAGGGCAGCCGGATGGACAGCAGCCTGGAGAGGAAGCTGCGAGGCTTCCACAGGTGGAAATAGCCATCCAGGGAAATGGACCCCAGCTCCTCATTCCTACTGTTGAAGGCCAGGGCACGCACCTTGCGGTTCCTGGGGTTGGTGCTGGTCCTGGGGATGGCTTCCATATCCATTGGACAGATGTGGGAGTACACTGGGAACCCCATTGCATTGCGCCATGCAACACAGTCATTGAAAATGTCAGGATCCAACCGCCACAGAGCCACCGTGCCATCACGGGAACCAGTCACAAGCACAGTGTCACTTATCCAGGCAATAGCAAAGATCCAGTCCCTGTGGCCTTCTTGGTCGCCCAGGCACACAGGGTCCAGGGTGGGCAGCTGGTAGATGGCCAGGCTATTGGGGTTCTCGCCTCCGGTGGCCAAAAGGGTCTTAGAGGGGTTCAGTTCAATGGCATGAATGCCACAGTTCTGCTGAGCCTGGTGCAGCTCTGGCACCCTGTCCTGCATCAGGGGGAGGCGCGTCATGTGGCCCGAGTGCACGTCCACCACGAAGAGCGTGTTGCACTTGGTGCCGCACACCACCTGCCTGGCGTTCAGCCACTGTGATGCGAACACTTTATTGAGTGTGCCCAGGACCACGGGCTTCTCCTTCAGCAACTCGGGCAGGCTCCGCACCGCGTGGCTGCTCAACTCGCCCTCGAAGCCCGACAGCACCGCGCGCTCCCGCGCCCCCACCTCTCGCTCCTTCAGGTAGTGCACCAGCGAGCGACGCGTCTCCGGTACCTTCTGCTTCTTGGGCAGCAGGCGCTCCTCTCTGTCCGCCCCAACGAACGCTGGTTCCGACGACGCTCTCCGCTTCCTGCTACCTGTGGGCTGCGGGGCCATGGTGGGCGGCTGGCGGGTGGCGGTGGCGCGGGTGGCGGTGGCGCGGGTGGCGGTGGCGCTGGTGGCGGTGGCGGCGCGGCGACGGCGGCGGCGCGTGGCACCCGAGTTGGCCGTGGCGACGGCGGGGATGACGGCGCCTGTGCGTTCGCCGGGCGCGCGGGGTCTCAGGAGCCGGGCGGCTGGACGGCGCGGCGAGGCGACAGCGTCCGGGCGGCCGAAGGGCAGGCGGCGGGGCCCCGCGAGGACGCGCGGCTGGCGGCGGCGGAGCGGCGGCGGAGCGCGGCGAGAGGGCGGTGAGCGGCGGCCGCGCGGACCCGGGCGAGGGCGGGAAGTGCGGCCGGCGGAGCAGCCCGAGCCAAGTCAGCGTGCGGCGAGGCCGCCCCGGGGGCCCTCGTGCCGGGGGCGGAGGCTGCGGGAGGGCGGGCCGAGCGGGCCGCGGTGGGGCGAGAGGCGCGGGCGGGCCTGGAGAGGGCGGCGGGGAAGGGAGCCGCGGGGGAGGTGCCCAGACAGCCGGCGCTGCGGGACGCCCGGACTGGGCACGTGGGGCTGCGCGCTCGCCCGGCGCCGGAGGAGCCCCCGCAGCCCTGGGCCAGGGAAACCCGAAATGTCACTTGAACGCGGGCCTGGGAAGAGCCCTGGTCGTGATGGGTGGGGAGAAAGCAAAGTGCACTTGGGCGCAGTTCTGGGGCTCCCCTGGGGATGAACTTGGCAGGGGCCCAGGCTGTTTGGCAGGGGCAGGTAGACCCCTCCGGGTCAGGTCTGTGTCCTCCAGGCTTGGGTCTCTGCTTGGGTTGTAAACAGTTCGCAACACAGTAGAGGTGTCTGGGCTCCAGGGCTGGGATCCCCAGGAACGCACTCCAGATGTAGCCTCCGGTCCCACGTTCTGCTCGCGGTGGGGTCCTGGTGGAGGGCGGCCCGAGCCCCTGGGGGGGCGCCCTCCTGGAACAGGGGAGGGGCCTTGAAGACAGACTTTTCCTGAACCTCTGAACCCTGGGAGGTGGAGGGAGGAATCCAGGGGAGGGGCGCCTCAGTCCTCAGTCCTCAGTCCTCACTCCTAGGAAGAGGAAACAGCACAATTTCAGTCCAGGCCTGTTGGGTGCCCAGGACTGAATCCTGTGTGATGGACAGGGTTAGTACAGAGCAGGTAAGGGACTTTACTTGAGGAGACAATGGCATAGAGAAGGCCAGGAAAATTCAGAGGTTGAGTAAAGGAGGTTGCTCTACCAAGTGGAAGAAGTGTTCAGGCCCTGGGTGTTGAGATGGTGTTTGGCATACCCGCCCACACAGGGGCTTTAGTTACAAAGTGTTACACTATGTTTGCTGATACAAATACTGCACACTGCTTACTTCTGTTCCACAGCTTATAGCTGCTTACCTTCCCCATGCATCCCTGTTCTTTTTTGCAGAGTCTCCCTCTTTCCCATTTCAAAAAAAAAAAAGTCTTTGCAACTTCATGCCAAGCGGAAATTTCATGCACTGCCATGTTTTTATTTTTTAACCACTCAAGTCTACTTGCTCTGTTCTAAGTGTTCACCAGAAAGTAGTAGTCTTTTGTGAAAAAGTATGACTGTATAGAGAAGATGTTCACAAATTTCATGCAGATTAAAAACACACGGCAGTTCAAAAAAGAAAAAAAAAAGTATGTTCTTTGCAGTGAACCCTAAAGGTTTCATGCAGAAAATGTCCTTTGAAAATTTTTGAGAAACACTGGTGTAGGCCTTGGACACAAGGAGGGGGAGCAAGGTGTGCCTCGGGTATAAGATTACCATCCTTAATAGCATTACCCTAAAAATGGGCTCTTTTAAAAACTTGGTATTACTATAAACACAACAGATTTTGTGCATTTCATGGGTACAGTTAACAAGAAAAAAAAATCACACTCCCCTTATCTCCGCTGTTGGTCCCATACCTTCTTCCGCTCCTCAGCTTGTACAAGACACAATTTTATTACACTCGATTCACGCTGTTAATTCCACACTAATAATAATGTCCAACAGGTAAAAATTAGGGAAACCACAGTCCCTTCAGAGTATAAACACAGACGAAAAATAACGAACATCGTAAGTAACTACACATTCTTTTTGTATTCCTTATTAGCTGGTGCATATCACAAAAAACATATGGCATCAGTCTTTTTAAGAATGGCTTATTTCACTTGGCATAATGGTTTCCAGTTGCATCCACTTCCCTGCAAAAGCAGGATTTCATTCATTTTTACGACTGAGAGTAGTCTCCTACAGTGTGTATATACCACATTTTTTTTAAAAAATCTGGTCATCAGTTGATGGATATCTTGGTTAATTTCACATCTTAGCTCTTGTGACTTGAACTGAAATTAACGTGGAGGTACAAATAACTTTCATAGGGTGGCTTTATTTCATTTTGCTAAATTCCTAGGAATCAGGAGTGCAATGGCTGAGTCTACTTTATTCTGGCAAATATTGTGAAAGCCGTGGCAGCTGGAGAAGCTGTGATCATGTGGAAGGCCACGGAGGGAAATTCTGCTGGTTAGGTCCAGAGAATCTAGCTGCAAGGCTAGAGCATCATTAGATGATGATACCAACACATGGCAAATAGAAAAGAATAATAGTAACAAAGAACAAAAAGGACGGAAAAAAAACAAACCAACAGTTCCTTGGAAGTTTAAACAAAGATGTGCACAATAATATACTTTGTCACTCTCACACCTATAGATTACTTTTTTGTCAGATTAGGGAAAATATTGTGATTGTCTTTTTGAGACTGACTTAGTTCACTAAGCATAATCATTTCCCATTACATCCATTTCGTTGCAAAAGACAAGCTTTAATTCTTGTTTACGGATGAGTAGTATTCTGTACTATGTATGTACCATGTTTTTTTATGCAGTCATCCGTTGATGAACTTCTGGGTTGATCGAGGAGAGACAGAGAGGAAGATCTTCCATCTGGTGATTCACTCCCCAAGTGACCGCAATGGCTGGTGCTATGTCGATCCAAAGCAGGATCCAGGAACTTCTTCCGGGTCTCCCACGCAGGTGCAGGGTCCCAAGGTCCTGGGCTGTCCCCGACTGCTTTCTGAGGCCACAGGCAGGGAGCTGGATAGGAAGCGGGGCCGCCAGGACATACTTTAGACACTAGGCTACTGCGCTGGGCCCTACCTTACAAATTTATCATATTTTTTATAGTAATAGGCATTGCTACGCAATTTTTTACAAATAGTGTTATTTTTACTGACTTCATTGTTGATTTAGTTTTAATCACTAGCTATCATCTCTTCAAATATTTAGATCAGACACCCCACCTGTCTGGATTCCACTATGTCTGAAGAAGTAATACAGTCTATATTTGCAGGATTTCAGAAACTTTTCTGGGATTTAAAAACAGCTTTTTGTTCATAGAAATAGGCAACATTGGTGTCGGTGTTTCCAGGGTGGCTTTCCTTAACAGGAGAAGCCCTGCATTGTTTGTGCCAACTCAGTGTTATAGATAGTGGGTGTATGGAAGTGAGGAGGGATGCCAAGCTGGGGGCACTGACCAACAGCATTAAGCTCTCATCACCGAAGGACGTGATTGGGGTGGGACTTCTTTAGAAAAGTCATTGTGGATTAAAATCCAGCCCTGTACACCATCTGTCCTGTTTCTCTCCACCCCCAATCGAAAGCTGCCTTTTCTTGGAAAGTGTGTTGAATATTCTGTTTCTGGGCCTGGATTGTCAGCCTACTGCCATCAGGTTTTATCCATCCAATAACAACCTACTTTCTTCCTTTTTTTCTTAAGATTTATTTATTTTTATTGCGAAGTCAGATATACAGAGATGATTCACTCCCCAAGTGACCGCAACGGCCGGTGCTGCATCGATCTGAAGCCAGGATCCAGGAACCTCCTCCAGAACACCATTAGATAATGGACTCCCCCCCACCCCATGGGTCCAGAAACCCAAGGCTTTGGGCCGTCCTTGACTGCCTTCCCAGGCCACAGGCAGGGGAGCTGGATGGGAATTGGAGCTTCTGGGATTAGAACTTGCACCCATATGGGATCCTGCACGTGCAACAGAGGGCTTTAGGCGCTAGGCCACCGCGCAAGGTCCACTTGTAACAGCCCACTTTCAGCACTCCTCATTGGAGTCCAATCAGGGCCTCTATGAGAAGCACAATGTGGCACGTACTTCATGCTTATTGGCTCAATGATCCTGCACAGAGAGGTAAAACCCACCTCCCATATTCCAGTGGTCCAAGAGGCCGTCAGCAGCCAGTTTAAGGTAGGCTCGATTGGCTAACAACTCAAAAACTCTTTAGCTATGCAGCTCTGAAGAACCTATAGGAATGAAAACATCCAGCCTTCCATCCTGTTGGCTGATGCAATGCACAGTTTCCCCTTCGTTATTCACAAACTTGTGATCCATTCCTTTCACATAATAACCTGCCTAAGTGGAACCAGTTCAAGAGCTTGTCCAGGTAGACCAGACTCTGTCACTTCCCCAAGACTGAGAGAGATCACATGTACTTAACGCCTACCCACTCCTCTGTGATGAGGCCACAGCACATGCTACCACTGCCTTTTCCTCTACAAATACTATCTTGTTTAATTCAATCTATACTTGTTCTAACATTTAGGTGCAGAGCTAGAGTCTTTGTTGAGGTTATCGCTTTGCCAATCAGTTATTAAGTGAACAGATGTAGCGTGAATCTACATCCCAAATTCTTATCCATTTCAAAGTGGCAAGAAATTCCAGGGACTGAGTCAGAAGTTCTCCTTGTAATAGATGTACAGTAAGCTATATTTCCTTCAACCCTAAAGCTGAGGGGATATGGCTATAGAACATCTGTGGAAATTGGATGTTAGGAGTAGAAACACAACGAAAAGCAGCTGTGAGAAATTCTATAACTCAGTGTGCAGTCACCAGAAAGACCTGCTGCAAAGGGCAAATACATTAGCTCGTCTGGAACAGCAGACAGGCAGACTAGCAAGCCCCAGTGCAGGGTCACTAGGATGTTCTGTTGTAGAAAGAACAATGGTAAC